TTGCTTTCCCACCTGGACGCAGGCCTCGGATGTCTCGAGTTGTGAGGATTTTGGAGGAAATTGGTGGGTTTGAACCGTATGAAGAACCATCGGTGGAGTCAAGATTGGAAGGTTTAATGGAGTCTCTTATGCCAACCTTTAGATAGATGATCATCTTGTCTCATATGGTCTCGGTTCTGTGAATGAAATAAGAGCCACAAATCGCAACTTTGTGCCCTTCGACTTGCGGCTCTTCCTTTTGGTCTATAATGTAATGGGGTGGGGCTTGCAGACTGCAGCCGGTCGAATAAAGAGACTTTAATGGTCCGATAAGGGAATGAAATCCAATGTGATTTTCGTGCGAATTACACAAAACGTCGAAAACATATCATCTAATAGCTCGAAACTTGTTGGTTTTCTTTTTTCTTTCTTTTTTTTTTTCCAGTGTTCTGTTTTGTGCAAGAAGAACCCTTGTGGTGATTTGAGGGTTCTGAAACATTTAATAGTGGTAGGTTTATTGTGTATTTAGTTCAAATCATTAAAACCTAAACCGAAAATGATGAGCAATCCACTAATGAGCAATAATTATAGTGAAGATCTCTTATATACTAATGCATAAAGAATGCTACACACAGTTCAGGCATCACCACATTGATGTTCCACATATATAAAGGAAATTTTGGTTGCTGGGGTCGAGACAAACCCCAGGCTCGCCCATATATAGATCCGCCCCTCTTATTATTTTTTTAATGGGGTCTTACACGGTGAAATTTTGTTACGTACAAGTGGTTCAACGCAAAGCGTCGGTGTCGGACGACCCCAGCCACTGAATGTAGCTTCGCCACTGCCCATAATTAATAAAAGAAAAAAAAAAAAAGGCAACATTTTCCAATAGCTTCTTTCCTGAAATAGTTTTCAACATTCAAAATTGTTATAGAAAAAAGAACTCATTCGACTGGCAACCTGCTCAGATATCCTAGCTTATCGAAACAAAATGTTTGAATTCAAAGTAAAAGAAGCATAAATTGCATTAATCAAGGAAGCCTTTAAGAATCGGCTATGGTAACCTCAACCTCCACGCCAGGTTCTATGGTGATCGAAGTTATCTGCTTCACAACCTCTGGGGAACTGAAAAGATCAATGACTCGCTTGTGTACTCTAAGCTCAAATCGGTCCCAGGTATTCGTACCTAAATCCATGAAAGAAAAAAAGAAAATTTAGGTCAATACATCAATAGGACGTTAAATGGACATGGGAATAGAAGTCAGTTAGCCCAACGAATTAGCAATACAAGACAAATTAGCAATACGGAATCTAACTGAAGAAACTAAACCCAGGAATATAACAACATCGTGTAGGTTTAAAACCAAGAAGCAAACAATTAACGAAGTAAAATAGAAGGCAAAGGAGTACAAATCCATTAAAAGAATCACAAATAGCAGCAAATTCAAGCCAGGATGAGATAAAACATCAGGAATTGTCACTATCCAAAAGAAAATGTTCATCTCCAACAATCATGAAAATTTTTCCAAGGTAATCGATATTTGAGGTTTAAATTTCGCAAGTCAAACAGACACTTTTCGTCTACTGATATGAACAAACTTCTTCAGAGGAAAAAAAAATACCTGCATGTTAGATAGCTCCAAAAATAAAAATTCAAATCCTTTCAAATCAATTAAAAAAATAAATAAAATAACATAGGAACCCTGGGAGACAAACATAACATAACTGGTGAAATGGAAAAACAAAAAAA